AGGGACCATTTCACTATAAACTGACAAAAGCAAATTGCAAAATAGAAAATTAAAAATCTCGAGTGGACCAAAGTTTGACTAATGAACTTACCGAAAAGCCCCTCAACAAAAAGTAGCAGGCCTTTCCAAATTTTGCAGACACACACATATTACAACTGATTTGCCGGAAAACTCAACCGTCCGATAACAAACACTAAAAAGATAAACATAACAATACTAAAAATAACATAATTTATTCTCCATAAACAAAATCTAATTACACGCCGGCGCCTACGAATTCGCCTGTCAGAACGACGGCACGACGCCGTATCTGGCGTCAGCGATGAAGCTCGCCGCGCCGGCGACGAAGATCTGGTCGATGTCCGACTCGGACTCCGATTCGGTCCTCTTCGCGAATCGGCCTTTGATCCTCGGCCTGGTCTCGGCGTACGCCTTCCGCGAAGCATACCGGATCGTCTTCTCGAATTTCCGGTTCTTCCTCTTCTCTCTGTACCTCAAAACCCTAGCCTCCCGGTCCATCCCAACCACCTGCGACCCGGTCGAGCCGATGCTCCGCCCGAACGGGAACGAGGTTTCTGAGAACGAGCCGCCGTCGGGCACGATCCCGACCTCCATCGACGACGAGGAGACCTGGAATTCGATTAATTTTTGGGTTTATTACCCTTTATATAAAATTGGGGAAAAACAATTATGAAAACAGGGGATATTCGTTTGTTTTTCTTATTTACGCTTTGGCTAAGAGTTGGAGCTGTGTAGCTGCAATTGTTGATGTTGGATCCCGAGAAATCAATCATAAACCGGTTCTCCGGAGAGCTGTCGTGGACCGGGAGGTCAACCGGCTTGACAATTGCCTGAACCGGAACCACGCTGTCCCCGTACGGCTGAGACGGGATCTGGAAATTGTCAAAATCAAGGAACTGATCGGAGTCCTGAAAGAGCAGCTCCATGGATTTCAGATCGCCGTCTCCAGCCGCCTGCAACTTGTCGATCCACGAATCGGGGATGTGACTGTCGTCGGCCGCCGGCGGCAGAAAGGAAGCGGCGGACCTCGCGAGGGCGGACTCCGCCGCATCGTGAAAGGGGACTACCGGGACGCGGTCGTGGCGGCCGGCGAGAGGGTTGGCGGAGTGGATGTCGCGGTCGCAGGCGGTGCAGAGGGCGGCAGCGTCCGCCCGGCAGGTGACGGCGGCGGGTGCCTGCTCGCAGACCTCGCACAGCCAGACGCGGCCGTGCGACGCGCCCCGGCGGTGGGCAACGGCGTCGCAGGCTATGCACATGAAGGCGGAGTCGGCGGCGCAGAAAAGCAGTGCCGCCGCTGACCGGCAGCAGTCGCAGGGCCGCGCCGCCACGGGCAGTCCCGCCGGGAAAAGCTTCGCCCTGGCCACGACGCTGTCTTCTTGAACCATTCCCATTTCCTAACTTCGATTTTATTCTTTTCCTTTTTCCTTTTTAATTTTTCTTTGTAAATAACAACACGCAATTGGCAGATTAGATGGCGTTTGTGCAGCTATGTATATCCAACGGGGCATATGGGGAGACCAGAAATATGGTGTGGGGGTGACACGTGGAGCGGTTTGCAGCCACACAAAAAGATTTGAATAAAAACGGGAATGATATTTTTCTGTGTTGAGTAGTTGTCATTTGCCAGTGTCGACTTTGGGTGGCTACTGTTTTCATGGGGTGCGGTGGGGCCCGCGCAGACCTAATGCAACTGTAGAGAGCCGTGTTCCTTCCTTGGTGAGGGCGAGGTGAAATTTGGGGAGTGTGACGGGGCAACACGTTGAAGGACAAAATGATAAACGAAATATTCAAATATTCGGGTCAATTCGTTAAGACTTGAATTTAAATTAGGTTGTTTGATAAATGAATCAAATTGGCATACAAGTCCTTCCAGGTTAGTTCGTATCGTAAGCCCTTGGTGAAGAGGGATACATCCCGTGCCCGTTCTGCATGCGCCTCGTACACAATTGGCGTTTTGTCTTCCTTCTAATCTTCACTGGCCGAGTTGAGAAGGGTCTTCTTATCATGGGGAGAATGATCTGGTTTATGCTTTCCCCGAGGAAACAACTATCCTTTGTTTATCTCGTGTTCAATGTAGTCTTATGTCCTAATATAGGTTTAAGTATGTTCGACTAAAGGAGAGTAATCTCATTATTGCCTATTCTAGCAAAATCAACCATTAGGGCCATCGTTGACCATTGAAAATAAAACTTTTTACTGCTTCGATTATTAAAGTTCGAGTTCGACTTGTTTAAACCAAAACTCGATTCGTTAATATATATATAAATAAACAAACTGAGTTTTAGCTTGTTAATTGGCTCATTTAGTTATCGAACCGGACTCATCTCAGCTCGATAAAGGCTCAAGAGCTGACTCAATTCGTTCGCACCTTAGCCAAATCAAAGTGTAAATAACTAATGAAGCTGAAAGTAAAAGGGTCACGAGATATTACATACACATACGACATACCTTTCTGAAAAAGATGCTTGTTTTTTTCATAAATTAATATGTGAAATAGACGCTTATCTATGAGCAACTTTGCGTATGGGAAAAAGCAGCTTTTAGTAAGAAATCACAAACTTGAGTAAGCAACCTCGAATATTATTTATTTATTTAGTTGTTTGTGTTGTTTAATTTACTCCCTTTAGTTGAAATGTGTTATTTTTATTAATTGGTTATAATTGATAAATGAAAATTTATATAATGTTTAAGAGCACTTAAAAAAATATCAGACACATAAATTTTTTTTTTTTTTCTATTACCACTCAATATTTTGCTCATGTTAGAAATAATGTTATTTGAATTGAGCAGTTTGCTAACACAATTTGGTTCGGTTAGAAATTTTAAATTTGGCTCGTTCGTTTACGTAAATGAGCTGAGCTCGAACAACTAATCAAGTTCGTTAGACAAACGATTCGATCTAAGCTTATACGCAAACAACTCTTTTTCTGTATAGGTTTCAAACGAACAACCGAGCCGAGCATGTTTCTTCGCGCTCGAATTGTGTTTGCTGACAACACCTTTACGATTTTGAATTTGTTAGATAAGCTGAGCTCATGCCAAACATTTGGCTCATTTATTAAACAATCATGTTGATTCTGACTCTCTAAACTTGGAAAACGTAACTGAATTTTACATGTAAAATGAAAAAAAATTGTTAATGTGATTTTGTGAATATTGTATTTTTAGTAGAGATAATATTTGATATCTTAGAGATTTGGTGTAGATTTTTAGGCTTTCCTTTGTATCTATATATTGAGCTTTTGTAAAACTCTGGAGATCAAGTTGGGAATATGAATGAGTTTCACACCACTTGACAAAAATAAATAATAATAATAATAATAATAATAATAATAATAATAATAATAATAATAATAATTCGCTCAATAAAACTTCAAACAATCCAGCCGAAAGTAGCTTATTACCTACTTTATCAATTATCTGGTCAATGATTAATCCTCATTTTTCTTAAAAAAAAAATAAATAAAAAATAAAACAGTCAACTTAATTGTCGACTCGTATACATCAATCCAATTATTTTAATCACGTGTAAATGCTGCTTAACCTATCTTAATTATTCTTAAGTTAGTTAAATCAATTTACTTTAGATTGGTCATTGGTAAGTGCTGTTGCAAAATGGCGACAAGTGATTGCTCCACGTGTCTGCATTTGGCGATTAATTAAAGAAAACCCAATAATTTGCTAGTGATTTTGTATATTTGGGACTATTTGTGCTGGACTTTATATTCTTTTCAAACTTTTCCCATTAATAATGATCCCATTTTACGATATGTCATTTGACTTTCTGTCCAATGTCTAATTATAGCAGAGGGTATATTTAAAAGCTAAAACTCACGATCAAAATGAATAATTTTGACGTAATTATGCCATCAGCAGGTACAAGTGGCAAAAAATGGGAATTTTAGGAAATAGTTGTGATTCAAATTTGTAAGTGTGATTTGGTCATTACTCAACTCTAGGGCGGGGCGAGCCGAGTCGAGCTCGAACTTAGGGTGTTCGAGCTTGAGCTCGAGCTCGAGCCCTTAACGAGTTGAGTCGAGCTTGGCTTGTTAGATAAACGGACTTGAAATCGAGTTCGAGCTCGTTAAGGCCTCGAGCTCGAACCTTAAGGAGTCGATCTCGAGTTTTAACAAGCCAAATTATAAAAAATTATATAAAGAATCTATTTTCGAGCCTTAACGAGTCTTATCGAGCCGAGCTCGCCAGCTCGAGCTCGGTTCGTTAAGGCCTCAAACTCGAGCCTTAACGAGCCAAGCTCGAGCCGAACCGAGTCAGACTTGTTTAATTTAACATCACTCCCACCATTTCATGTTCAAAGCTTCACTTTTGAAAATCAAAATTAATGTTGATATCTAATTGGTTTTTATTTTTTGGGTACAAGATATCTAATTGTTAAATGAGCCGAACTTATGATCTCATTTTATTCACTCTTAATTTTTTTTTTTTCAAAATATTCATCTATATCTTCAATGAAAAGAATTATTAATAGAAAAAAATATTCTTAATTATTTTATGACATTTATTATTTTGAAAACGATATCTCCTTAATTTATTAGTTATCAGCTAAATATTTTCCAAAGTGAACGTCAAATTTGGGTGTGGGCTTTTGGCCCATTTTCCCGTGTGGCACTAATTCCTGAGCTGAATGAACGAATTATTGCACAAAAATCTGGGCTACATTATTGGAACTTGAAAGAATAGATTACAGAAATGTGGGCTCCACCACGCGTGGTTTATATACGGCCCACACGTGACATGGGGATCCAGATAAGTTGAATCGTGTCACATACTACTAATTTCTAACTAATTTTTCATCAATTTGCATAAATATAACAACTTAAATTTAAATCGGATGAAATTATTTTTTTCCATTTAAATTTTGGAATTTAATTTTTACATAGTATTTTTTTTTTTTAATCAAAAGAATTATTCTCGACTGTGGGTTGTCAGATGTCTTCTAAGCTTGTGATTCCATACTGGAAAATTGTTTATTATTATATTTTCAATTAATATTTATGTCATCGAAGTTTTAAAAAGAATATGAAAATTACAATTCATTCGCATCTCTATTTTGTTCTCTGAAAATTGTGCCTAACACAACTAAAAAATATAATAGAAATTATTATTACATTTCTTTTAATAAAAACACTATTTAGACACTCGTATATTTTCAAATTACAAATTTTATAATTAAACGTTTTATTGTTTTAATCTCATATCAATTTTAATCATTACATTGTTATCTCATATATATTCACACTTTTAAATTTATCTCATCGTTTTAAATAATACCTTTTCACCTTTCCATCTCACTTTTTAGACAGACAGTATATATTTTTTATAAAAAAAATTCTGATATACAATTGCACTCGGGTAACTTTATTTAATTTGAATAATATAAAGCTTTTATATATTTCTTGTCATATGTACACTAGTACAACGCCTGTGTATTATACGGGTGCTTGGTAATTTTTTCCTTAAAATCTAAAATAATGAGAAAAAATAGCTTTTTATAAATATATATATTATTATATATTTAGTACGACACTTTTATTTGTGCGACTTACATGTGTTACATTATAATAATTTTTTAACTTACAACATATAACTACATTAAACATAATATATGAATTGAGAAATAATTTTATTTTTCTAATGAATTTTAATAAATATTATTATTTTTTATTATTATAAAGATAAATATAATTTATTTATTTCATATATACAATATGGATGTCAAATCAAAGATCATCAAAAGATGATTAATTTGATATATTATATATGTAAAACCGATACGAAATACATAAGTTATCGACTTTTAAAATACATTTACAATTCAATAGCTAATTGAAGGAAACAAATCAAAAGTCAGGGATATATTAGTCACTTAGTGTCTCAGTATGTAATTATAAAGAAATAAAGAGTTATACAAAACATGATTCTTCGCCAAGTAGGATTCCGAAGCACCAGAAACAACCACGTAGGCTCAGCGCATTCGGGAATTATATACAGGGGAGGGGATTAGATATGTTAGGGAAAAAAAAAAGGTACGTTAGGTATGAAAAAAGACTATAACACGCCACTCGATTTGTCCAAATAAAAGTAGTTAGAATTTGCTTCATTTTCGTGAATTTGTATCCAGAAAATACACTTGCAGCCAGTATACTTTTATGATAAATGCTAACGTACCGTTACAAAACCATTCTGTTGGGGTTTGTAACTGTTAAATCATCATGCAACTGTCAGAAATAGTTGATCTAACTGTTACAAAATCCAGATGGAATGGTTCTGTAACGGTGTCTATTAATAAATCTTCATACTTTGTTCTAGAATTCGACATACATATAGCCTTTTATTTTCTTTTCATTAATCTCTTCATGCGAAG